CGAAAAAGCTTAAAAATCTACTTGAACTTTTGAAAAACGAAAAAATTATATTATTTTCAGCCTAATTTTGTGTTTTTTTTGGCTAGTTCTTAATAGAATTTTGCGAAATAATTGCGTTTCTAGCTGAAAAACGTGCTAAAACTCGCAAGAAATGCAAAATTAATGTAATTTTTTACTTAAATTTGTTTATTTTTCACGTCGTTTTAGTCTAATCTCGCAAAAAAACCTGAGATTGTAGTAAACACAAGATAACATTAGTATCAATTGTTTTTGTGATTTTTAAGCGTTTTTGACCAAGATTTTTGTAATTTTTTGCTTGTTTCAAACGGGTTTAAACACTTGAAAAGGGCAAAAATAACGCAGTTTATGGTCGAATTTGTTGAATTTTTGGATCGTTTTTAACGAAATTTTGTGAAATAATAATGTTTCAAACTGAAAAAGTATTCGAAAAAAACAAAAATAAATTGTCATTTTCGATCCTGTCTAGTAAAATCTTGTAAAAAAAAAAACAAAAAACTATTTCTAATCAATTTGGTGGTTTTTCGACTTTTTTGAAAAAAATTTGACGAAATAATCAAGTTTTTTCAATTTCTACAAAATCACCAGATAGAATTTTAACAAAAGTAACCAGATCTGGTGAAATTTTACCACACCTGGCAACACTGTGCATGTTGTAACCATAGCAACTCTAAAATAACCGCGAATTTTGAATTTTTTTTTTTTTCTAGATTGGAGGATACGAAAAAGGAGGGTGTACTCCTCGATGATTCAAAACGAAAAATCAGTAAAACACACAAAACGATCGATTATTCCGAACTTGATTACGATCCACAATCTCATCGTAAAAATAGTGATGATTCATTAAATACCGAATCGTTTTTATCATCACATCCAAAAAGTAAACAATGGTCAACACAAAGCACCGATTCGGAGACATTTTGTACACATTCAGCGCCGCCAACTGTCGGTAGTTTTTCATCGGAGGAGGTTTTCAAAAACGAAGAAATCTCAACAAAACCCCAACTAACACGAGCACCACCTGTTAATGCCAAACGTAATCTAGAAGGCTTAAAAAGTCTCCCACCTGTACGCCGAACAAATCGTGAAATTCGTACAAATGATGAAAAAACAGAAGTTTATTATGGTAATGATCACACACCGAATAAATTAGAACAGATTTTGGGTAAACCAGAAGTGCCAAGTCGTAGTGTGCGTAATAAAACGAAAAGAGGTCACGTGAAGAGTTTAGGAGAAGAAATGACAGATAGTGGAAGTTTAGATAAGAGTGTGATTTTAGGAACAATTGAAGAAACAAAAACATTACACAAAGAAGATTTAATTAATAAACCATCACTAACACCGAAACGTCAAAGACATAACATCGGTTTGGATCTAAGAAGGCGAAATAGTGATCCTGCAACTAAAGCAAGTGTTAGTGATACTAGTCCACAAAAAATCCCACCCCCACATGATGATAACCTCAAATATGAGAAAAAAATTTATAATAATTTTCAAATTGCCGGTCATACTTTTCGTAAAATTCATCGATTACAAAAAGACGATTTGTGTGCTTTTTGTAATGAGAAAGTCGACATTTTTCTCACTCATGTGTACAAATGTTCAAATTGTAAGAAGATTTTTCACACGAAATGTATCCAAAATCGTAGTGTGTGTAAAATGCCCTGTGACCAATCATATACAAGTAGACGCAAACAAAGGAAACACTCACGAACACCATACGATTTTGGTAAGTTTAACCTAACCGGAACCTCGGAATTCACCGATCGTACCGATCAAATCATCACTGGAACCGAAGAATTGACATTAATGCAACAATTCATCACTGATAAAATCATGAAAATTGAGAATGAAGTCGGGGAAAAACCGAGCGATGTTGATCGACTCTTCAAACAAGCATTACGCGAATTTAAGGATAATCTAGTACAGATATACAGTGCGGCCACAAAACATGGATTCGATGCCGGTTGTATACGATATAAAGACTTGATAATGAATTTTATGCAAGCGATGCAAACGGTGTGTCAAAGGGAACAAAAAGAGAATGATGTTGATTTTCCGGTAACGATGGGTGTGAATGCATTTCGCGGCTTCATGAACGAATTTATGTCAACACGAGCTGAGGAAAAACCGAGTAAAACAAAACGAAAAAAAGAGAAAAAACGCAAATTGGAAACTTATAAACATAAAGGTCATACTTTTCTCCTGACAATCATTAATATTCCTACGGCTTGTGAAATATGTAATTCGTTTTTTATGTGGCCAATTGAGCGTGGTTTAGTGTGTCAATCGTGTAAATTGACATGTCATAAGAAGTGTTATTTGAATGCGACGAATTGTAATAAGGAAGAGGGTAGTGAAAGTCGTGTTTTTGGCGTACCTTTAGTGTCATTAATCACTGAAAATAGTAAAGTCCCACTTGTTATAGAACGTTTATTGCGTACTATAGAAATGCGTGGGTCGTATACCGAGGGGATTTACCGAAAATCCGGTGTTAGTTCAAAAATCAAAGAATTGAAATCAAAAATGGATGAAAATCCTGATGAAGTTGATTTTGAAAAGTATCAAGTGCATGTTTTAGCCTCAGTTTTGAAATGTTTCTTGCGTGAAATGCCTGAACCATTATTAACATTTGAATGTTATGAGAATTTTATCACTGCTGCCAACTTAGAAGATCCCCAAGATCGTGTTGCAACACTATATGACATTTTGAAAAAGTTACCACCGGCTAACTACGATTTAATGGAACGTTTAGTGTTTCATCTAGCACGTGTTGCACTACATGAAGAAGTGAATCGAATGAGTGCTGCATCACTTGCAATTGTTTTTGCACCTTGTGTCTTGCGAACCAATAAAGTGGTGCCAGCTCAGGACAGTTTGCAGGATATTAGTAGTCAAACTCAATGTATTGAGACTATAATCAAGGAGCAGTTGCGTAAAGTGAGGGCCACTTTAGATGATATTGATACACTTGATACTGCATGTCAAGCAGCAACCAATAGATTGTCCTCATTGAGGAGTTCTAAAGTTTTTAGTCCTGAGGAGTTGTTGCCGAGTAATCAGCCTCAACAACAGACAACCAATGACGAGGAGCATCTCCTTGTGGATCATATCCAAGAGATCCAGAAGGAGAAGGAACATTTGACGTCGACTTTGCCCACTTTGACACATGCGATGTCAGATGATGATATGTTGTCGACGGATGGAGATGGGAGTTTGGATGATATTTCGTGTCTTGGGGATGATAAAGTGAGACTTCCGGTTGTGAGAGATGGGGCGTTTCCGGTGAAATTGAAAAGACAGTTGTCGGCGGATTGTGAGGATCCCATTATGGTGTAAAAATGTACATAGAGAATTGTTTTTTAGTACTTAAATTACAATACTCGTATTTCTTAATCAATCAGCTGTTGTAAAATAAGCCAAAGCAATATTTTTCTTATTGGTGCAATTCGATTCGTTGAGATTGTTTAAGAAATAGAAGATATTTATTCGTGGATATTTATTGAGATGCATTTTTATATTATTGTTAAATGTGTTTGTTGGTAGTTGAGTACCAGGGTCATCACTCTTTTGCTATTGTGCTTTTAAGTTAGTTCGTTTTTAGTTTACTAACAATTTGCGTTGATTTGTTTTTTTAACCATTCCATGGAAATTTTATGCTCAAATGACTGCGCATTCCTATCTGTGTGAGCCAAATCGGGATGATTTTTGCCAATACGATAGGGCATTTCAGAACATGACTGAATTTATAGATTTCTCTCTTATTAAATGTTGGTTAAGTAAACGTTTATATCTAAATTAATAAATATACCAAATGTTAACAATAATGACACAATTGTATATCAATATAAATAAAATACTCTAAATTTAATATGCTAATATTTTGTAAATAAAAATTACAAGTATTCGAGGCCTTTATTACCCCCCACACCACCACCAGCAATGTATTTGGTCAAATTATTTTTTTAAATTAAGTACTCGCCCAAATGTTAATAAAATTAACTTTTTTAATTATTGATGTAACTTCAGTCAAAAATGATACTATTTTTTTGGATTTTTTTGAGGATTTTGCACGTTTTTTTATCTAGCAAATGCTAAATTTTCTCAAAAACTAGGTGAAAAATAAAGAGATTTGCTGGTTGTTATACTAGTTGAATGATTTTGTGAAAACTTTCGTAAAAATTCTAATTTTTGATGATTTTTTAGGCAGAAAATTAATGTGTTTTGAAATATTTTTTTAAATCGAGTATTCGTGAAATTAACGTTTTTAATTTGATTTTTAAATTATTGATGTAGTAAATTCAGTCAAAAATGACACCACTTTTTTTAGCATTTTGCACGTTTTTTTAGAAACTCAAATGCTAAATTTTCTCAAAAACAAATTGAAAAATCGAGAGATAGTTTTATTTTTCTAAATATTTCACTCAACAAGGTAAAAAACGCTAAAATGTGTCAAAAAGTACATTAAGCGTTTTAGTATGTTTTTAGCCAGAAACAGAACTATTTTGCAAAATTTCGTTGAAAACAAACTAAAAATTTATCAAATTAGGCCAAAACTAGTGTTATTTTTGCATTTTAAAAGTATTTCACCAAATTTTTGCTAAAACTGACTGAAAAATTACCAAATTAGATTGAATTGATATCATTTGCGTGTCTTACTCGATTTAGGTCGTTTTTGAACCAGAGACTCATTTATTTTGCAAAATATTGTCAAAATATGCTTAAACACAACAAAAATAAATCTAAATTGATGTTATTTCGTTTGTTTCATTCGATTTAGCTCTTTTTGAGTGAAATTTTGTCAAAAAATAGGACAAAAACCCACAAAATATGGTCGAAAATAGTGTTAATTGCAAGATTTTGCTAAAACAAACCAAAAAAATATCAAATTAAATCATTATTTTTGCTTTTATCAAGTGTTTTAGCATGTTTTTCAAGTAAAAACGTAAATATCGGGTGACTGTAAATGATTTGGTGGTGTCAAATTTAATTTTTAATTTGGCAACCTTGACTTTCAAATTCAAACGTCAAACTTTTATAGGCAATTGTCATTCATTTTTTCAGGGTTTTTCAACGCCTGTCATATGTCCGAAATGACAAAAAAACTAAGTATTTAATAAAAGTCAAGACGAAAAAAAATATAAATCTAGAAAATATTGATCAATTTGTCAAAAACTACTTGTTGTAGGACATTTTAACTTGTACGTCTCATTTCAATGGACAATTTTAAATTAAATGTCACCAGTTTAATCATTTGGCGAATAATTTTGTAAAAATTCTAATTTTTGATGATTTTTTAGGCAGAAAATTAATGTGTTTTGAAATATTTTTTTATTCGCCCAAATGTTATTAAAATTAACTTTTTTAAATTGATTTTTTAATTATTTATGTTGTAAATTCAGTCAAAAAYGATGACACTATCTTTTTGTATTTTTTTGAGCATTTTGCACGWTTCTTTAGCCATAYAGAGACTCAAATGCTAAATTTTCAAAAAAACAAGTTGAAAAATTGAGAGACAGTTTTGTTTTTCTAAATGATATTTCACTCAACAAGGTAAAAAACGCTAAAATGGGTCAAAAAGTACATTATTTTGTCCATTTTTGAGCGTTTTAGTATGTTTTTAGCCAGAAACAAAACTATTTTGCAAAATTTCGTTAAAGACAAACCGAAAATTAACAAATTAGGCCAAAACTAGTGTTATTTTTGCATTTTTAGAGTGTTTCAGCACATTTTTAAAGTACATTCAAATTTTTCCTAAAATTGACTGAAAAATTTTATAGTTTTCGGGCTTATTTTTGTCAAGATTTTGCTCAAAAACCAGTTATATCAAGGAAAACTCATAAAAAAACATTAATATCATTTTTTTTTTGGACTAGAATTTGCAAAATATAAATGAGACTCTGGTTCAAAAACAAAAAGTCGAGCAAAAAAGCTAAAAAATATCGATTTAATTTTGATTATTTAGCCTTTTTAAACAAAATTAAAAAAGAAAAATGTTTTTGCTTAAACACTGAAAAAAAAGCAAAAAACTTTTTTTGATCTATTTTGTTAAATTTTGGCTTGTTTTTCAAATTTTACAAGATAATTGTGTTTCTAGCAGAAAAAAGTTGAAAAATCGAGAGATAGTTTTGTTTTTCTAAATGATATTTCAAAGTAAAGAAATCGCTAAAATGGGTCAAAAAGTACATTATTTTGACCATTTCTGAGCCAAAAACATAACTATTTTGCAAAATTTCGTTAAAAACAAACCGAAAATTTATCAAATTAGGCCAAAACTAGTGTTATTTTTGCATTTCTAAAGTGTTTCAGCACATTTTTAAAAGGTACATTCAAATTTTTCCTAAAATTGACTGAAAAATTACTAAAATTAGTTTCAAACTGATATCATTTTAGGGTGTCTCGCTCGATTTAGTTTGTTTTTGAACCAGAGACTCATTTATTTTGCAAAATATTGTCAAAATATGCTTAAACACAACAAAAATAAATCTAAATTGATGTTATTTCGTTTGTTTCATTCGATTTAGGTCTTTTTGAGTGAAATTTTGTCAAAAAAATAGGACAAAAATTACAAAATATGGTCGAAAATGGTGTCAATTGCAAGATTTTACTAAAACAAACCAAAAAAATATCAATTTAAATCATTATTTTTGTTTTTTTTTAAGCGTTTTAGCATGTTTTCAAGTAAAAACGTAAATATCGGGTGACTGTAAATGATTTGGTGTCAAATTTAGAATTTAATTCGGCCATCTTGACTTTCAAATTCAAACGTCAAGATTCAGTGTTGCCAATAGAATTTTATCACCCGGTATTTCGCAAAATTTAATTAAAAACCAGCCAAAAAATTATAGAATTAGACTAAATGAAATATCGTTACGTATTTTTGAATTTTTCAAGCGTTTAAGCAAGTTTTTGAAAAAAAAATGAGCTGGCAACACTGCAGAAGGTTTCAAATTCGGTGATTTTTACTTTGGTAACTTTTTATTAGTCAATAATTAGTCACAGACTTATTATTTATTCGATAAATTGTATTGAGATGATAATGTAGGATGTCACGCTCCCGAAAATGAAGCCAAGTAGCGTGAAATCGACTGGAAAAAATCCAGCAGCTGAAAATTTGGGGGTCCGTTGTGTAGATTGTTGGGCTAGAAGCGTCAATTCCTCTTTGATGGTTTGGTCCTTGATGGAAACCGGAATTGTTGGGATTTCATTGAGCCAAAAGAAGCAGATTTTGGCGATTTTTTCAGCCTCTGAAGTGGCCCCAGCGCAACCATAAGCCAGCAAAATAGTAAACAACTGTGTAAAAAATTGTTTCAAGTTAGTATACAGAATTGACGCCCCAGATAAGATACCAGGATGTAAAAAAATTCATCTATAAAAATTTCGAAGTTCCAGATAATTCTTATTATATCGACAATTAGTGGGGAATTCAAAAATGTAGCAAAAATTAGAGGTTTTCATTAGAAAAAACAGAACTTAGTAGTGTATCTTATTTTGGGACATCCTGTATTAAATAAAAATATTTTTGAACAATACTCTATTATAGAACCTACCATTTAAAAAAAAAATCAAGTCGATAGCTTGCATAAGAAAAAAGTTATAGAGCTTCCACGCACCCTTGGGTCACCCTGTATATGGGAAATTCTCAAGGGGTTTTCTCAAAGCAAAAAATAATAGAGAATAAAATTAATTCTTGTGTTTTTTATTCGAAGTACTGAAGAAACATTAAAGAGTTATTGTAATTTTTTTTAATGAATAAAATTGTATTTGCTTATAAAATGTTATATTTTTTGATGTTTTTGGTCTAGTTCTTAGAAAAAATTACAATCAACAAAAAAAATATTATACAACCCTACAATACAAAAATAAATTTTTCTATACCAATTTTTTCACCAAAATTTTGACTTGGTATTTTCCATATAAAGAAAAAACAGACTTTACAAGATCTTTAAATAGACATAAAAAAATGTCAGATGTAAAAATGTTTTGCTCAACTTAATTTTTGAACCAGAGGCTCATTTATTTTGCAAAATTTTGTTCAAAGACGTTTAAAATTCACAAAAAGAACTGATTTTGATGTTATTTCACTCGATTAACTAAATTTTGAAGTCGAGAAACCATAAAATATGGTCCAAATGCTTTTAACTATGTTTTTGTACTAAAAACATCTCATTTTTTTCCGAGATTTTGCTAAAACAAACCATAAAAAATTAACAAATTAAATTGGGAATTACATTTCTCGAACCTTTTAACATATTTTTCAGTTAGAAACGCAATTATTTCGCAAAATTTTGCTAAGAACAAGCCACAAATTTAACAAAATGGGCCAAAAAAATAGTGTTAAGGACATTTTTGAGATAAAAAACAACAAATTTTTAAACAGGCTAAAATGTTACGAAATGTAATCGAAATTTATATTGTTTTTTCAGTTCTTTGCTCGACTTGCTCCTTTTTTATTTTCCAAAATCTTGTCCAAACACGACCAAAAATCACAAAAACAATTGATTTTGGTTTTATTTTGTATAGATATATTTCACTCAATTTAACTTTTTTTGCTAGATTTCGTTTAAACAAATAAAAATAAACAACAAATTACCTAAGTCAAAAATTATATTATTACTGCATTTCTCGAGCGTTTCTGGTTAGAAACGCAATTATTTTGTAAAATTTTGTTACAAACAAGTCGAAAAATTACAAAATTATTATTTTTGCATTTTTCAAGCGTTTAAGCACTAAGCTAAAACAAGCCAAAAAATCAACAAATTAAATTGAGAATTATATAATTTTTACATTTCTCGAACCTTTTAGCATATTTTTTAGCTAGAAACGCAATTATTTCACACAATTTTGCTAAGAACAAGCCACAAATTTAACAAAATGGGCCAAAAATAGTGTTATTTGTGGCTTTTTCGAGTGTTTAAGCACGTTTTTGATATAAAAAAAAATTTAAACAGGCTAAAAAGTTACGAAATGAAATCGAAATCTATTTGTTTTTTCAGTTCTTTTCTCGACTTGCTTCGTTTTTATTTTCCAAAATCTTGTCCAAACACGCCCAAAAATCACAAAAACAATTGATTTTGGTTTTATTTTGTATAGATATATTTCACTCAATTTAACTTTTTTTGGGGCAAAATTATGCCAAAATTAAGTTGAGGAACCACAAAATTTGGTCTAAACTGTTTGTTAAATATCATTTTCAAAAAATCATATTAGCTTTGCAATTTGACAGTTGACAATTTTGAAAATTTGAGAAAACTCTTAGAACCTTTGGTTATCGAATGCAAGAAAAATTATTCACTTATTGTAAACGAAAATTTTGACCAAAAAAATGACATAACAACTAGGTACATTTTACTCAGTTTGGAGAGGAGAATTCAAAAATGCAATAATAATAAGTGGTTACTATTTAAAATTTCAAAGTTGGCGCCAATTTCTCGTAGTTCCGGAAGTTCAGCCATTTTGAAAATAATTTAATTGAACTTAGACTGGTCGATTTAAAAAATAAAATTTTATAAAATGTTATATTTTTTCATAGATAAAATTTTATTTTTAGTTTAAATTTTGCACTTTGACTCGATTTATTTCTGTTGAAAAAATAATTTTCCAAGTTTTTTTGCTACAAGCTATTAGAAAAGGAAAAAAAACTGTATCCTAAATTGTAACTCTGCTTAATGGTATTTGTGACTTATTGGTAAATTTTTTGTACCTTTACTAAATAAATAAAAATATATAAGGTCTGTTTTTTTTAATGGAAATGCCAAATTTAAAAAAAAGGAAGTTGGCAGTTCTGTTTTTTTGATGAAAACAATGTCATTAAACGTCAACACAAAAAAATCGTCTAAGAAAATTTAGAGACGAAACATCGAAAAGCACCGTGTCTCTAACCTCATTTGACAAAAATTATTTAATTTCAAGTCCATTTCGATTTGATTTTGATCAACAAAGCGATTTAAAAGTAGATGATACTCATTATTTTGATTTCAAAAATGTTCCAGATGCAATAAAAATTTATCTTACTAGATAAAATTCAAAATTTAGAAAAAAAGTTACCGGAAGCAAATATAAGATTTCAAAAGTTGAATAAGCTATACGAAAATAAACTTGAAAAAAAGAAAATGCAGGAAAAAATTGACAATTACAGTAAAGGTCAACATTGTGTAGTGAAAATTGAGTCAGATGCAAAGGACTTAGAACCAAGGGCTGTGTTTTTACTTGAGCAAATTTAAAATTATTTCCTAGTTTTTAAAAGCTCCATCCAAAACAACTGTGGGAAATTTTCAAAAAAAATAATAGAGAATAAAAGTAATTCTTGGGTTTTTTATTTGAGTTATTGTAATTTTCTTGTAAAGATTAAAAATAACTATAACCCAAATGTAAATATTTATTTTAATAAATAAAATTATATTTGCTTTTAAAATGTTATAATTTCTGGTGTTTTTGGTCTAAAATTACAATAAACAAAAAAATTATTATACAACCCATAAAACACAAAAATAATTTTTTGTATACAAGCTGCTACCAAAATTTTGACTTGCTAATTTCTATTTAAAGAAAAAACAGATTTTACAAGATCATTAAATAGACATAAAAAATGTTAAATGTCAAAATGTTTTGACAGATTGAATTTTTTTTAATTTTTTCCATATTCCTGGTATCTTATCTTACTCGAAATTTTTCTCTGGGGCGCGAGTTCTGACACACCCTGTATATAAATTTGTGAAACTTACAAGCAACGTGGTGATCCACAAGGCACACAAAATGACCAAATTGGTCCCAAAAGACACACCTTCGATACTCCGACTCTTACTCATCCCATAAACAACGAACAAATCGGTCAAATTCAACACATAAGTGATCACCACGATGATAATCTCCAACATAGCAAGACCAAAAATGTTGTTAAAAGCATCAACTAGTTCGCAAATACTGTTATAATTCTTCCTAACGCGTTTCAAATCATAACAATTGCTTTTAATACTTGCAGTTTTGGCGATTTTGAATTCCGCGAGGAAAATCTCCCGTTTTGCGTCAATTTCACAAATGAGATTTTTCATAATGTTGTCAAAAGCCACCCCCAACGCGGCGAAAAACCGTTTAATCGGCAAAACCGAATGAAAAATGAGGAAAATCGTCGTGTTGCACACGTAATAGAAAAAACTACGGCCAATGTAGTATTGGAACATTCGCACCCCGACCGAACTGATCCATAAATAGGCGTCAAAGAGGAGCAACACCACCATGTAAAAATTAAAAATCGCGAAATTCATCCTAAAGGACCATTTCGTGCAACAATTGAAAATGTCCTGTTTGGACAATTCGTATCCTTGATTGAAAAATATTTTGATCACTTTTCCCTTCGAGAAAACTAAAATCACCCTCAAGGAAACGTTGAAAAAAGTCAACATAAAATTGGCGATTTTATCAGTGATGGCCACTGTCATGTTCATGGAACCATAGATGAAGTTCTCGCGACCGTAGGAAGAATGTGCATAAAGGGCAATGATGAGGAAAATGTGAATTATTGTGTAGATTTTGAAACGGAGAGAAACCGGAGTTATGTTGTTACCCAGATTATGGGGCGGTGTTACGGCGAGAAAATTGCACAAGTAGTAAAGCGGTTTCATGGTACCCCAACCCACCACTTCTTTCATCTTCTCGAATTACACTGAAGTGTTTTAATTTCGAACAAAATTGCGTGTTTAATGAAACATTTCAACGATATTGTTTCAATTAAAAGAAGTAATAACGCATCCATCACGTGTTGCACGTGGCAACATGATTAATTAAATAAGGAGAAAAACTATTCAAATTTGTTGAATTCAAAATTCCCGGTCAAAAAAATTATGATTGATCTGAGCTGAAAAGTTACCAGATTTACTCCTATTTTCACTAGATTATATATGATTTAAATTTTTTTAATATTATTATTATTATTATTATTAAAAAAAGATGACGTTTTTTACATAAATTTCGTAAATCTGCTCAAAAACGTGCTCAACCGCTCGAAAATGCAGAAGATTTAGTCTAATTATTTTGAGAAATACCGGATAACACAAATCTATTGGCAACACTGAATTAGTGGTAATCCTTCTAAATTTGTTATATCAGAATGTGTCAGGTGACGGCTAAATCAGCAGTCGCCCGTCGCAAATGAATGACAATTGTCTATAAAAATTTGACGTTTGAATTTGAAAGTCAAGGTTGCCAAATTAAATTTTAAATTTGACACCAAATCATTTACAGTCACCCGATATTTACGTTTTTACTTGAAAAACATGCTAAAACACTTGATAAAAGTAAAAATAATGACTTAATTTAATGTTTTTTTGGTTTGTTTTGCAATTAACACCATTTTCGACCATATTTTGTAATTTTTGTCCTAATTTTTTTTGACAAAATTTCACTCAAAAAGACCTAAATCGAATGAAACAAACGAAATAACATCAATTTAGATTTATTTTTGTTGTGTTTAAGCATATTTTGACAATATTTTGCAAAATAAATGAGTCTCTGATTCAAAAACAAACTAAATCGAGCGAGACACCCTAAAATGATATCAGTTTCAAACTAATTTTGGTATTTTTTCAGTCAATTTTAGGAAAAATTTGAATGTACTTTAAAAATGTGCTGAAACACTTTAAAAATGCAAAAATAACACTAGTTTTGGCCTAATTTGATAAATTTTCGGTTTGTTATTAACGAAATTTTGCAAAATAGTTATGTGTTTGGCTCAGAAATGGTCAAAATAATGTACTTTTTGACCCATTTTAGCGATTTCTTTACTTTGAAATATCATTTAGAAAAACAAAACTATCTCTCGATTTTTCAACTTTTTTCTGCTAGAAACAATTATCTTGTAAAATTTGAAAAACAAGCCAAAATTTAACAAAATAGATCAAAAAAAGTTTTTTGCTTTTTTTTCAGTGTTTAAGCAGGTGTTTAAGAAAAAACATTTTTCTTTTTTAATCTTGTTTAAAAAGGCTAAATAATCAAAATTAAATCGACATTTTTTAGCTTTTTTGCTCGACTTTTTGTTTTTGAACCAGAGTCTCATTTATATTTTGCAAATTCTAGTCTAAAAAAAAATGATATTAATGTTTTTTTATGAGTTTTCCTTGATTTAACTGGTTTTTGAGCAAAATCTTGAGAAAAATAAGCCCGAAAACTATAAAATTTTTCAGTCAATTTTAGGAAAAATTTGAATGTACTTTAAAAATGTGCTGAAACACTCTAAAAATGCAAAAATAACACTAGTTTTGGCCTAATTTGATTAATTTTCGGTTTGTCTTTAACGAAATTTTGCAAAATAGTTCTGTTTCTGGCTAAAACGCTCAAAAATGGACAAAATAATGTACTTTTTGACCCATTTTAGCGTTTTTTACCTTGTTGAGTGAAATATCATTTAGAAAAACAAAACTGTCTCTCAATTTTTCAACTTGTTTTTTTGAAAATTTAGCATTTGAGTCTCTRTATGGCTAAAGAAWCGTGCAAAATGCTCAAAAAAATACAAAAAGATAGTGTCATCRTTTTTGACTGAATTTACAACATAAATAATTAAAAAATCAATTTAAAAAAGTTAATTTTAATAACATTTGGACGAATAAAAAAATATTTCAAAACACATTAATTTTCTGCCTAAAAAATCATCAAAAATTAGAATTTTTACAAAATTATTCGCCAAATGATTAAACTGGTGACATTTAATTTAAAATTGTCCATTGAAATGAGACGTACAAGTTAAAATGTCCTACAACAAGTAGTTTTTGACAAATTGATCAATATTTTCTAGATTTATATTTTTTTTCGTCTTGACTTTTATTAAATACTTAGTTTTTTTGTCATTTCGGACATATGACAGGCGTTGAAAAACCCTGAAAAAATGAATGACAATTGCCTATAAAAGTTTGACGTTTGAATTTGAAAGTCAAGGTTGCCAAATTAAAAATTAAATTTGACACCACCAAATCATTTACAGTCACCCGATATTTACGTTTTTACTTGAAAAACATGCTAAAACACTTGATAAAAGCAAAAATAATGACTTAATTTGATCTTTTTTTTGGTTTGTTTTAGCAAAATCTTGCAATTAACACCATTTTCGACCAAATTTTGTCCTATTTTTTTGAGAAAATTTCACTCAAAAAAAGCTAAATTCAATGAAACAAACGAAATAACATCAATTTAGATTTATTTTTGTTGTGTTTACGCATGTTTTGTCAATATCTTGCAAAATAAATGAGTCTCTGGTTCAAAAACGAACTAAATCGAGCGAGACACCCTAAAGTGATATCAATTTCAATATAATTTGGTAATTTTTCGGTCAATTTTAGCAAAAATGTTTTTTAAAAACGTGCTGAAACACTCTAAAAATTCAAAAATAACACTAGTTTTGGCCTAGTATTATAAATTTTTGGTTTGTTTTAATGAAATTTTGCAAAATAGTACTGTTTCTGGCTAAAAACATACTAAAACGCTCAGAAAGGGACAAAATAATGTACTTTTTGACCCATTTTAGCGATTTTTTTACCTTGTTGAGTGAAATATCATTTAGAAAAAGAAAACTATCTCTCGATTTTTCAACTTGTTTTTGAGAAAATTAAGCATCTGAGTTTCTACATGGCTAAAAAAGTGCAAAATGCTCAAAAAAAAAACAAAAAAATTGTGTCATCATTTTTGACTGAATTAACTACATCAATAATTAAAAAATCAAATTAAAAACGTTAATTTGACGAATACTGGATTAAAAAAAAATATTTCATAACACATTAATTTTTTGCTTGAACTACCTACGATCATCAGAAATTAGAATTTTTACAAAAGTTTTCACCAAATCATTAAACTAATATACAAATCACCAGATCTGGCAACACTGCCGTTATTACCATGGCTACAGAAAGCTTGTCTCAATGTCAAAAGAGAAATTTAACCGTTTCTATAGTTACTAAATGTCCGAAAAAAAAAACAAACGAAGCTATTACCATGGTTACCTCATTACAAAACACAAAAAAAGGATAACCATGGATACCACTTTATAGTTGCTAAGATACAATTTAATTGTAATAATTTTAATGTTTGTCATTGCCAACCTATCAAAAAATCTCATTTTACCACTCAAATGGCAAAAACTGAAATAAATGTAAAACATTATACTTTATTTTTTCTCAAGTCAGACACTGGCCTGTTGGGTGACCAGCAAATATGACGTAAGTCCGTTCAAAATGTGGATTATCATGACGTAATCGACTTGAAAGAAGCCACCGGCTGTAAAGTAGGGTTTTTTGGTCTCGATTTGTCTCAGAACGAAGATTAGTTTGGTTTTAAAGTGGTGACAAAAGCCGATATTTTGCGTTTGTGGCAAGTCGATCAAAATTTTTCGCGAAATTGTGACAATTTCATCCATTTCGCAGTTGAATTTGACACAGGGTCGAATCAGGAGGATGCCATAAATCTGCAAAATGTTTATTGAAATCACCAGAATTTCGATTTCTTACCAGAAAATTGGCACATTTGAATAATTTGATCAAAACAATGTCGGTGTTTCGGGTAATTCCCCGAAAAATTTGATTCAAACTGTCGTACATGAAAGTGAGCAAAGTGGCGGCAAAAATCAAAATTTGCCAACCGTAGATTTTGTTAAACGCGTCCATTTTTACACAAATTTGGGTAAAATACTTGAAATGATAATCACTTTGTGACTGTAACCCAAAAATTCGTGAAACTATGTAAGGATTTGTTTCATTCTTCCCAACAATTTCTAGTTTCAATTTTTCGTTTTGTAATCCTTGTCGGAAGACCCCCAACATAATTTTCAACTCATTTGCGAAATAATTGATGTTCAAAATGGACAACAAAATGAGAAAATTATTCACAAACTCCGGAATCAGAAAAACAACAATCAAGGGATTTATCTTTTGGTAAAAACTACAATCACAGTAACCATAAAACAAGTAGAGGAACGTCAAAATGTAGAAAATCGTATTTCTCTTATTGTGTGTCTCTTTTTTCGCGAGTAAAACACACCAAATCTCGCCCCTCAAAAACGTCCCAACCACCGAATTAACGTTACTCAAAGTCGTGAAAACCTGTATGAGAATATCGACCATTTTCCTCAAATTTGTAATATATTTGTAGTAAGTTTTCTCTCTTGCGTATAAATTATAAGCACAAATGAGCAACAAGCACAAGATTGTGAACAATCCTTGAACAAAATGGCGAATTTTTCGCCCATTTTGGTGACTAGGGAGCAAGGAAAATAGCGTGGAGAGTCTCAAGTGGATTAAATCCATAATGAGGTTTTCCAATTTATTAGTGTCATAGCTACACGTTACAAACACAATTACTCAAACATGAAACTAAGAAATTAGTTTCATTTTATAATTGGTTTTTTTTAAGACAAATTTTAACTATTTTTTTCTCGGAAAATATAAGTCGTATTTGAAAAACAATTACAGATTTAGATTCCTTGGACAATTTTACATACAATACAACCAATTTCAGGGCGTTTCAATGCCTACTAGATGTCCGAAATGACATAAAACTAAGTATTTAAAAGTCAACACGAAAAAAAATTATATATCAAGAAAATATTGATCAATTTGTCAAAAAATACTTGTCTTAGGACATTTTAAATTGTACCATTGTGTTTCTCGTGCAATTTTACGTTCAAAAAGCCACATTTCAATCGAAAATTTTAACTCTTCTCTTAGATTTAAAAGAAAAAAAAAGCATGAGAAAAAAATGTGTTTCTAGTTTAACCATGTTTTTCCCAAAAACTATAAACCTCAGGTAAAAAACAATTACAGATTTGAATTCCTTGGACAATTTTATGTAAAATACAACCAAGTTTTGGGCACTTCAACGCCTGCTAGTTGTTCGAAATGACAAAAACTATTTAAAAGTCAACCCAAAAAAAAATTATAAATCTACAAAATTTTTATCAATTTCTCAAAAACTACTTGTCGTAGGACATTTTAACTTGTATCATTGTGTTTCTTGTGCAATTTTACATCTCGAAAGCTTTATTTCAATCGAAAAATGTGACTATTATCTAAGATCTTGAAACAAGGAAACAAAATAAAAAAAATATTTGATTCTTTTTTGACCATGTTTTTCTCAAAAACTATAAGACTCAGATAAAAAACAATTACAGATTTGGATTCTTTTGACAATTTTACGTAAAATGCAACCAATTTCAGGGCGCTTCAACGCTTACTAGATGTTCGAAATGACCAAAAACTATTTAAAAGTCGTCAGAAAAAAAAATTAATTAAGAAAATATTGATCAATTTGTTAAAAACTACTTGTCGTAGGACATTTTAACTTGTACCATTGTGTTTCTCATGCAATTTTACGTGTAGAAAGCCTCATTTCAATGAAAAATTTTAACTATTCTCATAAACTGAAAAAAAAATTTAAGAAAAAAAATATTTCTTTCAATTTTAACCATGTTTTTCTGAAAAACTATAAGCCTCAGGTAAAAAACAATTACGGATTTGGATTCCTTGGACAATTTTACGTAAAATACAATATAGTTAGGGCGCTTCAACGCCTGCTAGATGTCCAAAATGACAAAAACTATCAGTAAAAAAAATAACTCAGGAAAGTATTGAACAATTTGTCAAAAAATACTTGTTTTAGAACATTTTAACTTGTATCATTGTGTTTCTCGTGCAATTTTACGTTCAAAAAGCCACATTTCAATCTAAAATTTTAACTCTTCTCTTAGATCTAAAAGAAAAAAAAGCATAAGAAAAAAATATTTTTTTCACGTTTAACTATATTTTTCTAAAAAACTATAAGTTTCAGGTAAAAAATAATTACAAATTTGGATTCCTTGAAACATTTTACGTAAAATACAATCAAATTCAGGGCGCTTCAACGCCTGCTAGATGTCCGAAACGACAAAAATTATTTAAAAGTTAGAAAAAAAATATAAATCAAGAAAATATTCATTAATTTCTCAAAAACTACTTGTCTTAGGACATTTTAACTTGTGTTTCTCGTGCAATTTTTTATCTAGAAAGCCTCATTTCAATCGGAAATTTTGACTCTTCTCTTAGATCTAAAAGAAAAAAAAGCATAAGAAAAAAATATTTCTTTCTATTTTAACCATGTTTTTCTCAAAAACTATAAGCTTCAGGTAAAAAACAATTGCAGATTTGGATTCCTTGGACAATTTTACTTAAAATATAATCAAGTTCAGGGCGCTTCAACGCCTGCTAGATGTTGGAAATGACAAAAAGCTATTTAAAAGTCATCAGAAAAAAAATTATTAATTACGAAAATATTGATCAGTTTGTCACAAACTACTTATCGTAGGACATTTTAACTTGTGCCATTGTATTTCTAGTGAAATTTTACGTCTAGAAAGTCGCATTTTAACCAAAAATAACTTTTCTCTGAAATCAAAAAAAAAAACATAAGAAAAAAATATTTGTTTCTATTTTAACCCTGATTTTCTCAAGTAAAAAACAATTACAGATTTGGATTCCTTGAAAAATTCTACGTAAAATGCAATCAAGTTCAGGGCGCTTCACCGCCTGCTAGTTGTCCGAAATGACAAAAAAATATTTAAAAGTTAGCATAAAAAAATTATGAATCAAGAAAATATTTATTAATTTCTCAAAAACTACTTGTCGTAGGACATTTTAACTTGTATCATTGCATTTGTTGTGAAATTTTATGTCTAGAAAGCTTTATTTCAATCGAATAATTTAACCATTTTCTCTTAAACCCAAAAGAAAAAAAAAAACTGAAATAAAAAAAAGTTTGTACTTTAACCAAGTTTTTCTCGAAAATTATATGCCTTATGTAAAAAACAACAACAGATTTGGATTCCTTGGACAATTTCAAGTGAAGTTTCCAATAATTTATTAGTGTCATAGCTACACATTACAAACAATTATTACTCAAACATGAAACGAAATATAATTAAGAAAGTGAGAAACGATAACACTGGAATTTGACCCAAACGTAAAAAACTAAAACTTGGAATAAATTTCATAACAAGACTCAATTCTTGTCGTAATTCTTGTTCTTCTTGGGTGTAATTATCAGAAATTATGTGCAAATAAAACTTGTAAACTTGTAATTTAAATAAATCAATTTGAATTACAATTTTGCGATACGTAATTGCGATGAAAATCTAAAAATTGAACTTAGTATCTGTTCCAAATTGCTTTTACCTACCATCATGAGCGAGAAATGTGTCACTTTGGCCACATCCGAAATCCGATAAAAATCCATCAAAATTTCGAAAAATAGTATAATTAAAATACAATTAAAAATTTCCTGAAACCTGAAAATCCCTTCGTAAACTGTGCCCAAAATCCGGGCCATGTTTTTCACGTCTTGGACGGTATTTTTGTCTTTTTCACACGCTAAAACCCGTGAAAACCATCCAGTGATGAGTAAGTCCCCATTTTCCGCCCTTTTTACGCCCCCAACCGGAAATTTGTAATAATCAACCCTTGACTGTCTCACAAACAAAACCAAGGTTTTCACCGTTTGTAAAAACAAAATTAAAATTGTTTGAATCGAAATTAATTCAAATGTTAATAAAGCCATCACGATTTTATCCCCAATGTGGCAATTGGCCAAGGAAATGTAACACAAAAAAGACACAAAAACCACACAAATGTTGAAATAAAACATTTTAACGGGAAAAAATGGCCTTAAAGTGGCCAATAACCACGACAAATGTTTGGTTTTGTCAAAATTGCAAAATTTTGTTAAAAGAATTGAGGCGTAAAGGAGGTTTTCGGTGAAACCCCCAATTACCAGAAAGCCGTGCAAAATCACAATTAAAAATAGGCACAAATAAATTTTTCGTTCTTTGATTTTAGTTTCGACAAAGACGAGGAAAAATTGTGGCGGCATTTTGTGGGTTTTTATAATTCAAGTGTTCGTGATTTGACTCAATTTATTGAATAAATTGGATTGAAACAATGAAAAAAAAATTATAAGAAAAAAAATTTTCTTTCAATTTTAACCATGTTTTTCTCAAAAACTATGAGCCTCAGGTCAAAAACAATTACAGATTTGGATTCCGTAGACAATTTTACGTAAAATGCCATCAAGTTCAGGGCGCTTCAAGACCCGCTAGATGTCCGAAATTACAGAAAACTATTTAAATTTAAAATCAAGAAAATATTGATCAATTTCACAAAAACTACTTGTCGTAAGACATTTTAACTTGTACCATTGTGTTTCTTGTGAAATTTTACGTCTAAAAAGCCCCATTTCAATCAAAAATTTTAACTATTCTCTTAAATAGGAAAAAAAAACATTAAAAAAATATTTGTTTCTATTTTAACCATCTTTTTTTTTTAAAACTATGAGCCTTAGGTAAATAACAATTACGGATTTGGATTCCTTGGACGATTTTACGCAAAATTCAATAAAGTTCAGGGCGTTTCAAGGCCTGCTAGATGTCCGAAATGACAAAAAACGATTTAAAATTCAGCATAAAAAATTTATGAATCAAGAAAATATTCATTTTTCTCAAAAACTACTTGTCTTAGGACATTTTAACTTGTACCATCATGTTTCTCGTGCAATTTTACGCCTAAAAAACCTCATTTCAATCGAAAAATTTGACTCTTTTCTCAAATCTAAAAGAAAAAAATATTTCTTTCTATTTTAATCATGTTTTTCTCAAAAACTATGAGCTTTAGGTAAAAAACAATAACGGATTTGGATTCCTTGGACAATTTTACGTAAAATGCTATCAAGTTTAGGACGCTTCAACGCCTACTAGATGTCCGAAATGACAAAAAACTATTTAAAAGTCAGAACGAAAAAAAAAATAAAAATAAGAAAATATTCACTAATTTCTCAAAAACTACTTGTCGCAGGACATTTTAACTGGTACCTTTGCGTTTCTCGTGCAATTTTACATCCAGAAAGCTTCATCTTAATCGAAAAATGTTACTATTTTATTAGATCTTGAAATAAGAAAACAAAATAAAAAAATATATTTGTTTCTATTTTAACCCTGATTTTCTAAAAAACTATACGCTTCAGGTAAAAAACAATTTCAGATTTGGATTCTTTGGAAAATTTTACGTAAAGTAAGTTTTTTTAT